CTACAATTAGTTATTGTAGTGCTTTAAAATAGATTGTAGATCAGCTCTGTGTAACCAATATCATATGATATCATATGATTTATATCCAATCAGAATTAGTAATTCTTTGTACTACCAGGGGGAACATATAGCGTCCAGGGAAATTTTAGTTATATGTGAAGTTAATTTTTTTTAAAGCAATATATATTGTACAACTTCATTATTATAAACAACTATTTTAAACTACATATTATATAAATTTGATGCAAATTGGTTATTATATTAAAAAGTTTTATTAGAAGAACTTTTTTATTTACTATTGTAAAAATTCAATATACCACGTAGATCGTATGAAAAATGATCTACGTACACCCTACCCTTAAATAGTTTTAGTATTAGTTGATTCCGGAGTAGTCACCACTTTTATAAAGTTCATCCGATTACGTATCCGGACCTTTTACTGAAAAAGGAAGTATGTTAAGTGGGGAATTTTTGCTCGACAAAATGCGTATCGGTATATAGTTTATGAAATTTTTATAGCTAGATTAGAATTTAGAATTTAAGGCTTGTAGATTACAAATATGATTTAGTAAGGTTCATATTTCAAATAGGGATCCAATCTCCGGCTCCAGCATTTACAGCTTCAGCCGCGACAATTACTTGTAATTCAGTGACTTTGGCTTGCCTATTTCATTCCTAGCATCATTTTTATTTCATGCTTAATACATCAAAAGTATAATTTCAAATATAAATAATTGACTAATACTGTATCAACTTATGTATTTATGAAGAAAATCAAAGTTAATTAAAATTAATATTTCTCATGCCATTTACGAGAATGAATGATACCCGAATAAGAGATGTGGGAAGGTTTATCTGTTTCGTTGGCTTCGATATAATCAAAATATAAAGTATCACCATCATGCGGAATATTAATGTGCAAGAATCCAAATGTAAAAGGTGCAGCCCAAGTTGCATTACCACAAGTTTCTGCACCCGCAGCACCACCACCACCTACACCGAAGTAAGTAACGTTTGTTGTGCTATTGGCTGCAGAAAATTCAATGTCATGAACGTGACCACCAATATAAGCGGATACATTATATTTTTTAAAAAGCGGAGGGAGTCTATGCATTTTAAAAGCTGAAGCTTTTTTTGTTTGGCATGCACCGACAAGAGGATGATGACCAACGACAAAAATCCAATCTGCGCCCTGAGCGGAAGCGGAGATTAGTTGATCTTCTATCCATTTAAATCGATTATCTATTTCTTCTATATCATTTAATTTGAAGGACAAAAGATTACGTTTCATGTCATCATCCGACTTATATGTGGCATAGTCGTAAAAAAAAGGGTTAGTGTCGATGTGAATAAAAACTGCTAAAATTTCGTTCTTATGTCCAAAATAAACCTTTCGAACGTAATAAAGCGAGGGAAAAAAAAATCGTAAATTTTTTTCCCAAAAGTAATCTACTTGTGCGGTGATGTTGGTGTACCAATCATGATTCCCTGCCACCATATACCAATATATTTCTTTCAAAGTGCCATTATATACATTTAACCAATAGGTATGCCACTTTGGATCATCTATACTCAATACACCTTCGTGATCAATTGGATCATTAAAAGGAAGGTTTTCGTCTTCTTGATAAAAATTATCTATCAACAAAAGTGGATTATTTTTCTTATTCTTCGATTAAAACGTTGTGTGGCAAGAAAATTTTAAACTTACCACCAACATTAACTATAAATGTTGTATTTTCATTAGCCCGGGCTTGTAAAGCTTTGGCTACTTGAAACTGTCCTGATTCAGGTTTTTGTTCACCCCAATCTCCGAAAGCAAAAAAATCGAGTCCTTTATTTTGATAATATTCTACAAAAGGAATCGGATATGGATGACTAACTTCATGGCTTTTCGGCTTTATAAATTTGTCCGAGCCTTTTATTGGAATTCTATAATAAAAGCTCTCACAACCATTCAAAAGAAAGCTCACTTGAGCTAAAACTATGAAAATTATTATATATTTCATTGTTTTTAAGTTATTAGGGAAAACACAAGACATGTCTCTTTTAGATTACGCCACATAAATAGGTATAAATATATCATTGCCATAAAAAGTATATAACTTTATCGTAGATGTAACGTTACTTTTTCGGATTATGTACGTACGTACAAAATTTTTCAGATGAAAATCAGCTCCATAAAAAAAAAAAACACTAGTCCATTTTAAAGACATCCAATTGTTAGCGCTTTACTGACCATCGTGACCTACCATATGTGGTTGTGTAACGCTTGTTTTTAAATAAAAAAATTACATTTTATCGAGATGAATTCGTAAAATTTAGTACCACAGTACAGTGCGTACGTACGTACATGTTAGTGATGCAGTAGAAATTCAAGGCATCGGGATGTGCCGAATCGTAACAAAGTTATAACAAGTTATCGTTATAACTTTTTCAAAGTTATGGTATTTCATAGCATTCGTATGTGACGTAAATGGTAACTTTATATACTGTTACACTTTATTGTAAATTTTATTTATGCTTTAATCTTTACGTACATAAATGTATTGAACAATAATTACAATTAACCTCATAATGACCTCAACTAAATGATTTCCAATATCGACATAGTCCACGACGTTTTTTTTGGAAAAATTTTAATCATGCCAATTAGTATTTTGAATCGATACATTATCTGATGATTTTGTGAATCGGAAGGTTGTTATGCAAAGAACTGCTCAGCATTATTATTAGATTCGGATAATAAAGAGTTTGCCTCTTGGTTAATGTTACTAACATAAATCGATTTATTTCGACTTGTAATATCTTTAATCGCATCCATTATTAATTAAATTTTGCTAAAAAAAGCATGCGCTTAATAAATTTTATGTATA